TTCTATAAACAAAACACAAGTCCCTCCTCCCCACAGCTTTCTTACCTTATAGTCAGGCCTCATGTATTCTTGAAGAAACTGGCATGAGATACGTGGCCAGGTAGAAATCAGCTTTATTTGGGTATGAGTAACCAGCTGTAGAGCATGGAAAATACATTTTAAATTATTTGACAGAATTGCTGAATGCAATTAGTCTTGCAGTAAAGTGAAAGACAATCTTTGAGAAAGAAAAAAAATATTTTGAGTGAGACTTGAAATAATACATATTCAATAAAGAGAGAAGCAATAATCTGTTTATTATCATAACATTCAGAGCAGAGTTTCTTGTTAGCGGGAGTTAAGAAGTAACATACAAGATATCATAAAGCTATTGAACAGTAATTACATAGTATCTTCCCTACCTTAAAGGTTAGGGTCCTGAATCCCTCTTGGTGACAGAACTTGAGGTTGCAAAATTTAAAATCCTAGGGGGAGGGGAAGAGTCAGAAGTATCAAGATAAGTGAATCTTAGAAACTTTGTACACTTTTTTTTCTTCTAAAAGCAAACAGCAAAGTGCATATTAGAAAACTCACACAGCTTCATCATGTGTATTCCGAATAATGACCATATTAAGAGGCTTTTGTTTTATACAGGGGCTAGTCTCCAAATAGTGCCTTTCCCTCCCTCCCTCCTTCACTCCCTCCCTCTCTCCCTCTCTCCCTCTCTCCCTCTCTCTCCTTCCCTCTCCCTCCCTCCCTCTCTCCCTCCCAATATTTTCATTCAGTCATTTCCTGTTTTGTACCAGGTACTATTTTAGGCTTTGGGGACACATCAAACCTAAGTCCCTGCCCTCAATAAGCAATAGTTGGGGGAGGTAGAGAAGTGTCTCAGGCTTGGGCTCTCCAGAAGCAAATGCTGAGATGGATGGAGTATGGGGAACACGATGTGTATTTGACATCAATACCATGAACAGGAGGGGACGGGATTGGGCAGGGGAATAAATCTGGACAAGGCCTCTGCCAACCCTCCAGGGCACCTTACCTGTCAGAGTGTCTGCACTGAGTGGTAACCTCAGTCATAGACCATGTGTGTTACCAGGTTTGGGCGTCCCTGGGGAGGGTGTGACCTTGGTCAGATGGGGTAGTTCTGTGCAGCTGAGGCCGACTCTGAGGGGTGGGGCCCTGGAGGCTGCCTATCTGCAGCTGCTCGGTGAGTCCTGACCGTGCATCTCTCAATGCACCACAGTAAGTATTTAAAGTACCTGCTGGTGACACATAATAGAGAAAAATAAAGCTGGATGAGGGGGATAGAGAGTGTGGGAGGGAGGAGAAGGCTTTATGGAGGTATCTGAACAGCTCTGTCCAGATATTGAGGGCACTGGGCCTGAACAGGCCAGGCCAAAGGAAGAGCCCAGAGCAGAGGCCCTGAGGAGCAGTGTCCCTGGTGTGTTGGGGGAACCACAAAGGGGCTGGCAGGTGAGTCAGGGTACGGTCATGTGTGGCCTTTTGGCCATTGCAAGCAGTTCACCTTTTATTCTGTATGACATTGTGTGTTAGTGTTCTAGGGATGATGTAATAGAGAACCACACACCGGGCGGCTGAAACAACAGAAATGTACTGTTTCACTGTCTGGATGTGAGAAGCTCCGTGATCAAGGGATGGGTAGAGTTATTTCCTTCTGATGGCTGTGAGCAACAGTCTGTTCCCTCTTTTAGATTTTGGTGGTTTGCTGGCAATGTCCGTTTTTCCTTGGCTTGTAGATCTCAGCCTTCATCTTCACGTGGTGTTCGCCCTGTGTGTGTGGGTTCGTGTCTAAATTTCCCCTCCTTCAAAGGACACCAGTCATATTGGACTAGGGCCCGCCTTAATGACCTCCACTAATTACATCTGCAACAACCCTGTTTCCAAATAGGGTCACATTCTGAGGTTCTGGGTGTTGGGACTTCATCATATGCATTCATGGGGGACACAGTTCAACCCACGACAGCTGGGAAGCCATTTGAAGGTTTTGAATAGATTAATAATATAATCTGATTTATGTTTCAAAAAGGATCCCACTGTTTTGTAGAGACTAGAATGAAGCAGATATAATCTAGGCAAGAGATGATGGTAAGTGGGCCGGGGTTCTAAAGGTGGCCATAGTGCGTGGTCAGGTAGTCGGGTTCTAGATATAAAGTAGAGCTGGTTTTCTGTTAGATTAGATGTGGAGGGAGGAAGGGAGGGCGTGCGCAGAGGCAAAGATGACTCCTGAGCAGCTGGAAGAATGGAATTGCCATTTACTGAGATGGGCAAGGTTTTGGAGGGGCCAGTTTGAGGGTAACCTTAGGAATTTGGTTTAGGACTTCGGTTTGTAATGCCTGTTAGGTATTCATGTAGAGATACCAAGTGTGCAGTTGGATATATGAGAGATTCTGGAATCTGGAGTTCAAAGATGAAAAGGGATGGAGGGGTTAGTGAGGTAGGAAGAGAACCCAAAGGAAGCGGGGGAGAGGGGCGGGTGGGTCTCAAAAGGCATGTGCTGAATGTGTTTCAAGACAGAGCAGTCATCCAGTGGGATGAGGGTTCAGATTGACCATTGGTTTTGGCAACATGCACATCATTGGTGACCTTGACAAAAGCAGTTTTGATAGAATGATAGGGATGAAAGCTTGACTGGAGTGAATTCAGTAGAGAGAAAAAAGAGGGACTGCAAATACAGACAGCTCTTGATTTTATGACTAGATCTGTGACTAGCTGGCTGAGGACCCGTGTTCATCCTAAAGATGCAGAGCAACTAGAATGCTAGAGATAGAAAAACCTTTGGGAAGCCTTTAGATGACTGTCTTAGAATGGAGGTCACATATTTCTTAGACTCCCTCCTCTTTTCTTTCACAAGGTTACTTAACTTTAACTCTGCCCAGTAATGATAACTTCGTGCCAAAGCATATAACATTCGTTAGCCCCTCTCAGACAAGTTTTAGCTTCTTTCTTTCTAACAGGATAGCAGAGTAACAGTGAGTTCTTGAGGGGTGAGTAAGGGAGTGTTAGGGTTATATAGGATTAGTCATAAGGGAAGAAATATTTGACCTAAAGGGGAATTTATCTGAGATTCACTTGCTTGAATAAAGAAAATGAAGAAATTATACATAATTAGGTCTCAGGATAATTTACATCCAAAAAAACACTTTTAGCTGCCTTTCAGTTTCCTCCTTCACATATCTTAAAATCAAAGGTTATGAGAAAAGTATAGTGAACAGACTTGAGTTTCACCTCCTCTCATTTTCCGAGCCGACCAAGGTGACGGAGTGGAAGACCCAAAGGGCAACTGAAAGAGTGAGGTGAAACACAAGGCTTTGGGTTGTGTCCGTCTCCTGCTCCCCAGTGCTCAGTGAGACGGTTTAGAAAAAGCTCTGTCCTCCTGCTGGACCTGAAGGTGGGTGAAGGTGTGAGCTTAAACTTTCAGGGAGACCGGTACAATTTCAGAATCAAAGGAGATATTAAATGCTTAGTTTCTACAAGGCTATATTAGATCTGAATTTTTTTGTTAATACACATGGTAGAATTAAATTTGATTATTTCTTTCCTTTTTTTGAAGAGGGCACCCATTTAAAAGCACATGTATTCTATTAACACAGAATTCATTTGACCACATGGGATTATTTCCATGAAATGAAAGGGGCTTTTTGTTTCAGGGGTTTATTCCCTCCTGAGTTCACAGAGAAAAAAAAACCAAAAGAAATGGAATTAAACTACACAAAGAGAAGAACTTTAAGTTTAATAAAAGGGATGCTTTTCCTAATGAGGCTTCTTGAGGCTGGTTATGGTTTCTCTGCCTCAGAGATGATCAAGGGTGGGAAAAGGCAGGGTGATCAGGAGACATTGGGGGGCGGGGTCCATTTGGTCCATTGGAATATACAAGAAAACATCTGTGCAAGTTTAACTCTACTTTTAAAGACCTTGAAGCAAGCAAACGAGCACAACCCCAGCATCCTGCAGGCTTACTTAGGCTTATTGAAGACCCACGGGACCACAGTGTTTGAAAGCAGATAGTGAGGTGGGACACAGACACACCACCTTATACTAATGGAAGTTCTTCATGGACTCAAACCTTTGCCCACTCAAACAAATGATTTCTTAGCTTTCTGCCCATTCTGAGCGGTATTTTGTTCTTGTAGCTGCCTCCCCCTGTCTTATCTGAGATTGGCTTAGGTTCTGCATTGAAATTTCAGTAGGAAAGAAAGAGGAGGATTAGTTGGGTATTTTCACTATTAAATCTTTTAATGTGTTAACATTATCCAATACTGTTTTGTTTGCCTTCCCTTGAGGCTGTAAAATATTGTCATGTCCAAAATAAGGAAGAGTCCCAGGCTGCTGTCTTCCTTTCTTCTGAATTCCTATACAATCTAGCATTATTAACCCTTTGTAGCTCTTTTTTCATGGCAGTATATGTCTGCTTTGGGAAATTTTAAATAAAGCCAGCTGTGTTAAATATTCATGTAATCGATTTTCATTTGTTTAAAGTCTTGGGTGATTTATCTTCAGGGAGTGTTAATACGGCAGTAATTCTGCATTACATTTCTTGCACCCACATTTAATTGATACTATATTTCACGAGGCTTATTGCAGGTTTATTGCTATTGTATTTAGAGTTGTGGCTCTCTGCTAGTAACTCAGAGAAATAGGATCCCTGAAACTGTTGTTTCTATTTTTAATTGTGTGTGCTTCTGAGCTGACAAGTCTGAGAAGGGCTGTTAACTATGTCACAGACCAGAGAGATAAAAACCATTTCGGTGGTGCAGACCTGGGGGTACTTGGCTTCAGGATGTCATTGAATGAATCTATTCTTTTTTAATGATGATAGATAAATTTAATCTATATTCCTTTTTAAATTGATGTAACATTTGATATAATCTATATTTCGATGGGTATCAGTGTTTGCTTTACTTCTCAACTAAGGTACCTGGGACATCTCAGGCTATGTGAATGGCAGCAGTTGTATTGCCTTTTAAATCTGGTTGATTTACATTGTTATTCTCTCCTAGAAACCTCAAGAGTGTTTCAGAACACTGGGACACCAGTATCCAAACTACAGTTCTCACTGGAACCTCATACGGTATGACACTGAGCATTTGTATTGAAAGAACAAATATGTGTCCCTACAATGAAAAAGCTTCATTGAGTGAATAAATGGATGTCCATTTGATAGAAGTGGCACATATGTGACACAGAGGTGGGCCCTGAAGGAAGGAGGAGGGTTTGCCCATCAATCACAGTCCCTGATAAATATTTGTTTAATGAATGAAAAGTTGGGGGAAAGGTAGGAGGCAGTTCTAGGTGGGTGGGAGGGAAAGAGTAAAAAACTGCAGAGGCTGGAAAGTGCAACGCAAGGCCAAGGCCTGAGTATTTTGTACTGGATTTAACTCAGGCAGCAGAGTGTTCTAGAAGGAGCCCCCCAACTAGGAGTAAATATGTGGTTCTTTGCTACTTGCGGAGAATGTCACCTTGGGTGATGCTGCATTTTCGGGCCTTGGTTTTCTCCTCTGCTCTGCCGTCCCCCAAGGCTTACTTACTGTGAGGCTCAGATGAGAAAATGTATATGAGAGTGTTTTGCAAACTGTGAAGGGTCATACATATCAGGTCGTGTTGTGAGCCTTGATGGATGAGGAGGTTCATTCCTCCACCAAATACTTACTGAACACCTGCAGCAGGCCATGGCCCATGGTAGACAGTGGTGGGTGGGCAAAACACAGGCCTACCTCCTGGGCTTTCGTTCTAGTGGATGAGAAAGGTATTAACCAATCACTCAAATATAAAATTACAAACTGTTCTAAGGACTGTGAAGTACAGAGTGCTAGAGGCTCATTGTAGTCTGGGCTGGGGCAGAGCTTGGCTCTGGGGTTTGAGGTTTATCCTGTACTGTGTGGAGTCTTTAAAGGCTCTTACAGGGTGTGATTTAAACCCAACATTGCTTTAGTAAATTTAATCTAGTGGCTACATACAGGACAGATTGACAAAAGATTGGAGTCTGAGAGAAGAGTTAAAGGAAGCTGCTGTCAATATCTCCTATATCTGTCAGATGACAGATATGTCATATATATCCCTGGAATTGTTGATGTTTTCCATGTTTAATGTTGATAGTTTTAGGTGAGGTTTTTGAGGAGCTTGATGTTTATATGGTTTTTCATTTGGTAATTAGTGAACATCTATTTTTAGTTAAACATATTACCATAAAATATTAGCAAACATTAGCATATATTGGTTCTTCTGTGTGCCAGCAACACTAGGCTTAGTGCTGTATACATATTAACTCCTATTAACTTTTAACAACCATATGAGGTGTTGAGACCATACCATCATTTTACAGATGGGAAACTGAAAGTTGCCCAAGGCTATACATCTGGTAAGTGGGACTCGCACCCAGGCCATCCATTTCTAAGTGTGTGTTCCTAATCACTTCATTATCACCTTTTCTCTTAGAAAGAACCAATTTAACATGCTATCAGAGAAGATAAAGATGCCAGTAAACCAATCTTGGAATAACTACTGTGAATCCTTTCCTCTCAATATACTTGCTTCTTTTTTTTTTTTTTTTAAATATTTTTGTTAACTACAAACTTAGAAAGAAAACCTGTTTTAAGGCCAAATATTTTTTAAAGGCATATTGTGGTTTTATGCATTTTGCCATGAAGGATTACAAAAGTTTGGTGGTCCTTGACATTGCTCTCTGGGCTGCACATCGCCCCAATTTTTCCCCCTTTGTTTCATAACCAGAATAAATATCAGCAGAGAAGGGAGTGTCCAGGTCTGCTCGCTGCGGTAGGTAGATCTTGTGTTTGCCGCCCTCCTTTCGTTGCCCCTAAAAGCTGCCATTCAGTGTCAGTTGTGTATTTAGTTCTGGGGCAGTAGAACCCTTTTGTGGATAGTACCGGTGGTATGTACATACGCTGACTCCTCGAGTTCACAGACGCAGACCCCAAAGTTAAGGTGAGCCGCTTCTGCAGGGCCGTGGTGCTAATGCTGGGCAGAGCCAGACCTGGAGACCAGGACCTGGACCATGAGCCCAGTGCTCCCCCACAGCCTGTGTAGGCCTCACATGTGAAGGGTAGCAGACTATGTCACCTCAAAATATGACTGGAGCAGTTCAGGGCATGCTACCTCAAAATATGCCATTTTGATATGCTGATTATTTTGAACTGTAGGCACTTGAAAAACAACAAATACAGGTTGAGGCTTGAAACTTCCCTTATCTGCCTGAAGACAGATCCTCCAAAAGGAACTCAGCTGTCATTGATCTTCTTCCTGGGAATTTCATCAACCAGAGAAGATTGACTCTTATCACAGGATAGGAGACTAGAAATAGCTACCACACCCAGACAGACTTTGTCACAAACTTTCATACCTCCCATCCATTCTTCTAAGGGCCCATTTATTTTTCTGAGAAATCATTTACTCTTCCTTGAGAGGTCTATATCCCCCTTGCCCCTTTCCCTATTAAGATGATATTTAAGCCTGAATTCTAAGCCATCTTTTTTAATTACTCATTTTCCCCTAGATAGCGCCCATGTATACATGATGTATACATGTTAATAAACTTCTGTTTGTTTTTATCTTTTATTACAGGGGTCTCAGCTAAGAACTCAGAAGGGTAGAGGGAAAATTATTTTTCCTTCCCTACACGTTTCCATGCCTTCTTTTGCATATTATTTCCATCCTGTTTCACTTATGTAATATAATAGACAGTGGCGTTTTATATTAACTTAGCTAAGTCCCGATGCTGTGAAGTGGGGATAGGATACACTCTGGCTGTTGGTTCAAAATGAATGTGTGTTCAAATTATTTCAGTTTACATATTAATAAAATGTTAAAAAATTTTTTTCTATAACTTTAGTATTTGTCAACGCAGAGTGCTTAATTAAGTGAGCCTCACTGTGTGTTAATTTCCCTCATCACACTTTTATACTTTTCATTTGTTTTACTTATTTTTACTAACACTGAATTAAATTTAATCCTAAACTGTGGGCCAATGTGGATATGCTACAAAAAGTCTGAATTCAAAGTTAAGCTAAACCTATGTCTTTGAATTAGTTCTGTTTATGGCTCAGAATCACTGACATTTTTTGTATTTATAGTCAGAGCAAATGTTTTCAGTATCTCATAAAGGGCCTTTTTTTTAAAAAAATATATTTCTTTTTGATTCTGCTTTTGTTTCTTGACCTTGGGGCTCTGCCTGGAAAATTTTCCCCGGAGGGCTCTGCTTTAGTTTGGTTAATGCTGCTAACTGCTAAAAAGCACATTCTCTGCAGGAATTGGGTGTGGATATAATGTTACTGAGAAAGAGACATATGCTTTGCGATTTCACAGATTGTTTCATGTTCTTTATTTGGTTAGGATCTCTTTTTGGACTCCTTGTGCTTTTTGTGATTGGTGTGAGTCTTTCCATACATTGTATTTTGTCCCTGTTTTATCACCTACCGGTATGTCTCAGTAACAGCCAGGAAGCCAGAGTCTCCTGAATATTCTATTCAGAATTTTGTGTTTACAGTAAAAGCGGTCTTCTCTGGGATTATCATGATTAGCTGCTGGTCAGTTAAAGTGGAGACTTGTAAAAACAAATGTTATATTCATATCTTAAACATTTTATTTAAAACTCAAATATATATTGGGTTGTCAGAAAAGTCATGACATATTTTTTCTGTTTTTCGTTGCAAAAATGCATCATGACTTTTCTGACAACCCAACAGATGTACATCTGTTTGCTCATTTCTGATGTAGGGTCCGATAAGTGGTGTCCACATTGGTTTTTGCACATAAACGGCACCTGTGACGTACGTTCTACCTGATTTTCAGTTGGGGTTGCTTTAAAGACCTTTAAGATACTTGTGAACTATGTGAGTGCAGAATCCTTGCAGATTCCTCTAATTTGCCTCCCGGTCCTTTGCCGTTTCTTCCTTACACCTAATATAATGGCAATTATTGTAGTGTTTCACTTTCATTCCACATTATTCAAAAATTCATCTTCATTTTCATAGAAACAATTTTTTCAGAACTCATGTTTTACGCGTTTATATATAATTTACTATGTGTTTACATGCAATTAAGTTAAATGATAAGAACTAGCATGAATAGGTTAGGAATGAACACATCTGACCCTAGGGAATGATATAGCATAATTGGTGGGAGCATCTCACTGATTTCTCACCTACATGTGGTTAAGGTCTAACAGGTTTTCAATCTGTTATGGACCTGGACTTTTAAAAATAATAAAAAGAAAAAGTTAAAAGAAAACAGAGGTTAATAGACTTAGTGGGGTTATCACTTTGTGAGGTATATAAATGTCTAATCACTATGTTATAAACACCTGCAACTAACATAATATTGTATGTCAACGGTAATTGAAAAATAAATTAGAAAAAGGACATATAAAATACAAGCCTTAAATTTTTTTTTTTTTAAAGATTTTATTGGGAAATTGGGGAAGGGAACAGCGTTGGGGAATCGGGGAAAGGGAACAGACAAGTTGCTGTCCTTTTGTTCTTCAGTCTAGTTGTGGAGGACGTCGCTTCACTGGCCCATGTTGGTATTATCATTGTACTCTTCCCGGGTGAGGCAGATCAGTCACCAGCCTCTGGATGGTCGTTTACGATGGCTCATGGCAGCTCACACCAGCTCTCGCTGGCTGCCGGCCACTCACAGCAGTTCCCAGCAGCCCACTGCAGCCTACGCCGTCGCCGGCGACTCAGGGCAGCCCAGCTCCAGGTCAAGCTGTTGTTCACCATCTTAGCTGTAGAGGGCGCAGTGTCACTGGCCCATGTGGGATCCGAACCAGTGGCCCTGCTGCTCAGAGCTCGCGCTCCCAAGCCAACTCTTAACCAACGAGCCACTCGGCTGGCCCAAGCCTTAATTTTTAACTTAGTTTTAGAAACAACAGAAATAAAATTACATTTTAGTAAATATAATCAGAACAAACAATATAGGGAAAAATAAAACAATTATAAAATCTGTATATGTTCTTCAAGAGCATGCATATAGGCAATGTTCACATAAAGAGTCACTATTTCTCTTATTAATTTGATATTCCAGTTATAACTAAACAAAAAGTTATGAGTGAAAGGG